ATTCACTAAAGGCACTTGAGTTTAAAATAATGAAATGTTAATTGTTCAATTTTATGGGGTAAATACAAATTTGGGAGCATAAATGTTTGAAAATCATGGTAGCTCTAAATCCCACTGCAATTACTGGATAGTTAGCTAGTATTGAAATTTTGGAAGGATCTCACTTATCTTATTGGAAGCAAAATATTGAGATCACTCTAAGCATTTCATATCTAGATTTAGCTCTACATGAAGATGGACCTCCTAAACCCAACAGTGAGGGCATTACCGAACATTAAGCTAAATATGAGAAATAAGAATAGTCCAACAGGATGAGCCTCATGATTATGATGGGGTCCATTGGTAAGACTACACAAGGTGCTATTCCTGATGAGGATAATGCTAGAGTTTCATGAGCAAGGTGTATGAATAATTTGTAGCTCCTACTAAAGCCCTAGCAAACATCTTTATGACAAAGTTGTAGAACGTGCAGTACGATGACCATAACTCTATTAGGGCCATATTATGCAGATGATTGACATCACAAATCAATTGAAGTCCATGGACATGGAGATATCAACAGGTTATCTAGTGCATTTCATTCTTAACTATTTGCTTCCGCAGCATAAAGAGTTCAAGCTCGCTTATAATACTCAGAAAGAGAAGTGGAGTTTGAATGAGATTCAACTTATGTGTATTTAAGAAAAAGAAAGACTAAATCAAAATAAGCTAGAAGTTGCCCATTTAGCAGAGACTAGCTCAAGCAGAAAATGACCCTTCAGAGCATCAGAAGATAAAGGTTTTGGAATGCATGCAAATTATCAATCAAAAGGGACTACTACTCATATTCAAAAACAAAATGACTGGAGGGAAAGAAAGTGATTGTCTTACAGGAAGAAGGGGCATTTGAAGAGAGACTGCCACAAACATAAGTTGTTAAAAAATAAAAGAATTCATAAGCAGTCAGAGATTCATTAATTGGGAATTGAGGCTTGTGAGATAAATGGAGTTAAAAATAATAAAGGCGATATGAATAGTTAGATTAGTTCTAAATGGTAGTTTTGTATTAGACCTAAAAGATACTCTTTATGTGCCAACTTTAAGGCATATCTTATAATAGTATAAAAATTTTATAATTTTAAATTTAATTTTGGTAATATAAATTTCTTCTTATTTCATAATAAATGTATTGTGAACTTTGGAAAATTATGTGATGGTCTCTAAAAATTGAATTTGGATTCTATATTTGTTGAATCTCTTTTATCCCTACATGTATGAAATATGAAATATGAAAAATATGAATGAAAATTCTTCTATGTTGTGGCATAGAAGGCTAGGGCACATCCCAAGAGAAAGGATTTCAGAGATTAGTCAAGTAAGGCGCATAGTTTGTGACTCAAATTTGTTTGTTTCATTATGGGGAGTCCTAAATACTGTAATTTATATACTGAATTGTGTTCCTAATAAGTTGTGTTAAAAACCCCATTTGAAGTTATGGGCTGGTAGGAGACATTTGATGTATGGGGATGCCCTGCAGAAGCCAAATTTTATAACCTTTTTGAAAAGAAACTAGATTGAAGGTGCTACTTATGGGTCTTTTGGGTTTGTGGAGAATCTTAGGTGAATGCATTTGCCTCATGTGCAGTGGGAGCAAATTCACTGTTGATGACATTGTATTGCCTAGTAGTGACATTCATTTGCTGCATGAAACAAAACAATTTTTTGTCTAAGGACATTTGATATGAAGGACTTAGGTGAAGCTTCATGTATGATTGACATAAAAATCATCGAGACATCTCGAGGTATTTTAGGATTAGCACATACAACATACATTGAGAGGGTTTTCAAGAGGTATAGTATGCAACCTCTAAATGTAGCACCTATTTTTAAGGGTGATAAAATCAACAAATTACGATGTCCAAAAATAAATATAAGCAAATAAAAACTTGGAAAGGAACAATATGAAGAATATTATTTATGCATCAGCTATGAGAAGTTTATCATGTATTCAGGTTTGCACCTATCCAAATATTGCTTTTGGTGTCAATATATTGGGTAGATATCAAAGTAACCTAGGGCTAGAATATTGGAAAGTAGCTCAAGAAATAATGAGATATTTGCAAGGGATGAAGAACATGAAGTGAATATGATCATCTTGATTTGATTGGATATTCAGTCATAGATTTTGCTGCTTATCTAGAATATAGGAAATCGACATTAGGTTATATCTTCATGATGGCTAGTGGAGCCGTTTCATGGTAGAGTACGAAGTGGCAAGTCATAACTTTGTCAACTATGGTAGCAGAATTTGTAACTTGGTATAAGGTTACCAAGCAAGCGCTATAGTAGCACAGTTTTATCATAGGGCTTCGGGTAGTGGATTCCATTTTCAAATCACTGAGAATTTTCTGTGATGATTCCGCTATAGTTTTTTTATCTAACAGCAACAAGAGCTCGAACAATTCCAAACATATAAAAATGAAATATCTTGTTGTAAAAGAGAATGTATGGGAACTTGGAGTATAATTAAGCACATAAGTGCAAAACTGATGATCGTTGTTAACTTGACCAAGGGTTTGAGTCCCAAATTGTTTGTAGACGGTATTGCTTAAAACGGTTTAACAAGCATATGGGATGCACTTGGTTAGTGGGAGTCATATTGTTATATGACACACATTCAATTTAATTTGTATTATGTGATGCATCAAAGTTTCGGTTTGGTATATATATATATACATAACTATAAGTATAACATGATATAAAGATTTGGACCACTTTTAGGTATGATATGGATGCTACCATATCATAAGGTTTTTGTCCACCATAAAGGTTATATGTTGGAAATTGTAGAGAGTGATGGTGCTAATATTATAACCATGGAATGTCATTGTGTGATTTATAAAATGCAATTAGCCTTCATGATTTGGTATTAGTAGTTTCACTGGTCAAAGTCATGATTTTGAGAGTATTTTGCATTTGGTTGAATTGAGGATGTATTTTTTGTTATAATTATTATTAACCCAAAAGGAAGAATGTTAGAAAAAATTTCCTAACTTGTGGTCCAATAATAATTATAGGAGAGTAATATTGTTCACAATTTAAGTGAGTTAAGTATTCAACATTAAGATAAGGATTAGTGGTAACCACCTTCCCCACTCTCTCTTGAGGATAACTCCTTATGATGGGTTAGGGTCAAGAAAAGACCAGTTCAATTGTTTAGATATCAGCACCAGAACTCATTTTCTTCATGGCATGAATGTTTAGATCTATTATTTATATTCTCATTTCCAGTATCCATCAAGAGATTTACATTTTTTTTCTAGATCCTTAAATTTGTTAATCTGTAGTTTAGTTTACAAGTGAAGCTCTAATTTTGTCGCATTCATGTTGGACCCGAACAAACAAACTCTTTTTTAGTCGGAGGGGAAAAACAACCTTGTTTTCAAAATTTGGACAACTCAAACTAATGAAGAAAAGTGGTATATTAACTTCTAATATTTTTTCTTTAGACCTTCTCATATTTACCCATTTTATGTACAACTTAGAAAAGGGTGCGGTTTGTATAGAGCTAGGCTCCAAATAATCAAATTAGAGCCTATCTTCAAATAGTATCGAGAAATGTGGTTTCAATACTGGAAATCTTTGTGATAGCCTTAAAATATATTTTCATCTTTATTTATAAAGTTTAAAGCTTCAAAAATAGTGTAGTTCGTCAGATCTATGAAAACTTGAAAATCTTAAAAATTGACAATCCAAAAATGCATTACAAAATACCATTTCCAAAACTTGAAATCCATTTTTTTCTCATATCCATACATCTTGATGTCAAGATGGTCAATTTGGAGATATTTGAGTATCAAAACAACCTCTTCTAGTGAAATTTTTGAGGTATGCTCTTATTTGATTGTTTAGAGCCTCAGCTCTATATAAACTTCTCCCTAAAGAAAACTATGGAGAAAAATTGCACATCTAAATCAACTTCCCTAAAGCATAATACTCAATTCCATTTTTTCTTATAACTTTCATAATATGTTGCTCGTTCAATTTTTGAATTGACGTTAAAACTCTTTAATTTGTTAATCGCCAACAACTTCTATTTCAACTACCGGCCCTCACTCATGGAAGGGATACGGCAGGCACTTACACATTATTCAAAAAACGAGAGGTGCGGGGTGCAAAGTGACGCCCTCAGCCGAAACTGGCCTTGAATAGCCAGCTCAAATACCACACTGGTAGACGTTATTACAGACCAGTTTCTATAGCTTATGCAAGAGTTACAGCAGGTGTACCTAAGTCCGGAAGTTGTATAGGAGCACAATTCATGGGGCCTCTTTACAGTTAAATCTTTTATATCCATGTGTGTTGTTGGCTAAGTGGTTCAGGCCTGATTTAGCTGAGATTTGGAAATGGACGATTCTGTAGGTGTAGGCTTTCCTTGGGTTATTATCTCTGTGGATGGTAGACTTCTCATGGTGGCTAACCTGAGGAAGAGATTTAAGATTTTAGTTAATGATGTAAAACTGATAAAGAGAATGGCAATTATAATTTTTGATGATTCAAATAAGGTAAAAGTTTATATAAGGATGCTACCTTATTATGTAGAACTACAGATGCCCCTCAAAAATCCATCGGAAAAGGTAGTTTTAATGTTGAAAAACCCTTTGATTGATCAACTCGACATCAAGATGTATGACTATGAAAAATAAAAAGATTTTGTCTCAGAAATAGTGCATTTTACGACATATTATCTACACCATTCATTTTTTAAGATTTTCACATGTTTATAGGATCTATTTTATTTTAACCATTTTTGAAATTTAAAATTTTATAATTAGATACAAAAATAGATTTTGAGATAATCCTAATAACATTTACATTAATATTATATACCATGATAAAATGATAAAATTTGAAGGGCACCGTACCTCTACACCTACGGAGGCATCCGTATGTCAACTGCACCCTTCAAATGATCATGAGAAGTCATACACACATGAGAAATCTCTACAAAATTAGTTAAATGTAAGAAAATAAAAAAATGTATTAACTTTACAGGGATGTACAAATTCAATCTCTCTCTCTCTCTATGCTTCCAGGTTATCCACATCAAATTCTGTTTTTGTTGGGACTTGAAAAGACAAATTTTCCATACTCTCACTTCATGAGTTATCCATCAACCTTTGATTTGGATCACTTGCATAGCCCTCTTCCCTCAAATTGACAGCCATGTCCCTCAACATAGTGTAGATTTCCTCAGCATGAAGATGACATCTCTCTCCCACAATAAACTCATGAACAACACCATCCAATTCGATCAAACTGCACCCAGGTTTCTTCCTCACTTTCTTTTCTTTCATCCTCTTCCTCTCACTAAGAGCATCTCTATATCGACCTTTGGCTGCATATATGTTTGACAGAAGTATGTAACCACAGCTATCCCATGGATCTAACTCTGAAAGTCTCCTTGCAGCTCGCTCGCCTATCTCCACATCTCCATGATTCCTACAAGCCGAAAGCAAGGACCCCCATATAACTATGTCTGGTTCTATAGGCATGTTCTCGATTAGTTCCTCGGCTTCTTTTAAGAGACCAGCTCGACCGAGGATGTCAACAATGCATCCATGATGCTTGATATCAGGTATAATCTTATAAGTCTCTTGCATTTGCAAGAAGTATTCTCGCCCTTCTTCCACTAAACCCGCATGGTTACATGCACTCAAAACACCGATAAAAGTCACATTATCGGGTTTTAAACCTGAGAATTCAAGCCTCGAGAAGAGCCCAATTGCCTCCTTGCCTCTTCCATGCATTGCAAGCCCCGCAATCATTGAGTTCCAAGATGAAAGTGGTTTGCACTGGCCACTCTCGAAGATTGCAAGGGCCTTATCGATGTTTCCACACTTGGAATACATGTCCACGATCGCCGTGAAAAGGATTGGATTGAAACCAATGATTCTCTGTTTTGTATACTTGTGGATCCATTCACCTTGCTCGAGAGCACCCAACTGCGCACACGCACTCAACAAACTGACCATTGTAAAGACAGTGGGCTCTATCCTTGCCTCTTGCATCTCTCTAAACAACCTTAAGGCCTCCATAAATCGCCCATTATGCACATAGCAAGCAATCATAGCATTCCAAGATACAGTACTTCTAACTGGCATCTCATCAAACAACTGACGCGCCTCTTCAAGGAGACCCCACTTTGCACACCCCACAATTAGCGAGTTCCAAGAAACAACATCTCTATTCGAACTTCTACGGAAAATTTGGCGAGCAGTTCTAAGAAGGCCCAAAGACGCATAGAAATGAATGATCGTATTTTGGATAAAAGCATCAGGGTCCAGACCGAACTTGATTACCTGACCATGAAGCTGTGCCCCTTCCACGAATGCGGATAACTGGGCACAAGCCTGAAAGAGAGAAGGGTACGTGCGGCGATCCAGGCAGATGTCAGAGGAGTCGAGCATTCGCTGGAAGAAACAGAGAGCATTTTGAGGGGTGGACGAGAGAGAGTGGCCTCTGATGAGGGTGTTGTAGATGAAGGAGTTGGGGTGGTCGATTTGGGCAAAGAGAGAGAGAGCGTAGGGCATGGAGCCTGAGGGGGAGGTGGCGCAGAAGGCCAAAAGCTGGCTGGCAGCAATGGGGTCTGCGATGAGGCCAGTCTTGATGGAGTGGGCATGGAGTTGTTTGAGGTCCCTCATGTTGTGGCACCATGAGGACGAGTTCCGGAACAATTGTGAGGAGAGAGAGGGGTTTTGGGCTGTGAAAATGGGAGGGGAGAGCGGGTCTCTGCTACTTTTGCAAGGAGGAGAAGCAGCCATTAACACGCAACAATACGGCAAGACAAATCCTTTTTGCAATAAGATCCTTGAAGCTTGTACTTTTGTTTTCACCTATCTTAATATGACTTGGAATATTCGGGTTGCAGATATTCAGGTTCTTCAAGCACTCAACTTTGTTGCTTTTGCACATTGTTATTCCTGATTAAAAAGGGACGCTACTTTATGAGCATATTATGCTCCCTCGAGAGCAATACTATACATTCACTCCCTTGAGTAAAACACTGAGATTTTTCTTGATTTGAAGTCTCGGGATCCATCTAATTATAACGAGATGATTATTTTTTAAATAAAAAATTTAAAACTTTCACTTCATAAACATCTAGATTATTCCCTCTAAAAATTAGATGGTTCAGGTGCAATATTCAGATGATATTTTTTTTTTAAGCACTTAGAGAGTGAGAGTTCAAATTTTTTTTTTTTTTTTAGGCCATTTGCTGAATTCTAAAGCTATGCCTAAAGAGTAAGTTAATTTTTTTTTCTTTGATATCATTTGCCGAATTCTAAGGATCACATCCCCAAAATTTCATGTCAAAAAGATATCCTTTTGCTCGAGGGAATAAATGGATAGTATACTCCTGTAGGAGTAGGAAATCCTTTAGTTATTTTGTACAAGCAACACAGATTAAGGTCACATCCAAAATTAGATTAAGGTTGCATACACAAATTTGGGGTGGTCCTAAAAATATTCCTAGACCGGATTTCATTTGAGAAAGTAAATTTACAGTATGCCCCAGGGGGCATGAAATCTTTTAGCTTTTGATTGCATATACTATACTCCTTCATACTAATACTGTACACATATTCCCTCGGGCAAAAGCCTTATTTGGGAGTATTTTTTAAAAATAAATTTTTTTGAACCATCTAAAAATCACTAGATTATGAGATTATGTTAAGAAATAAAAAAAATTTAAATTTTGAATTTTTTAACATTTAAAACACACTTCATTGGATGGTTTCTATTCAATCCTAAGGAATTATTTTATTCAAGGCCATAGAAATTTTTTTCATTGAGTTCGGCATACGAGTTGAGAAAGTTGCATCCCAAAATTTTGGGGTCCAACGTATACCACTAATATGGGTTTAGCAAGGGAGTAAATCTATGCTCCATTGGGACCTGCTAGTGAATTCAGTATGGAGCCTGTTAGTGAATTCAGTAGCTTTTGTTCTCCCTGCCTCCCCGTCTGCCGGACCGTAAAGAAAAAAAAAAACTTTATCCAGCACGGAAAGATAAGAGAGGCAATTCATCATGAGCTAATTGGAGAAAGGGCTATTATGCATGAGTTAGGAGAAAGGCCCGCCAGGGGACTCAATTATAGGCCGCCCTTGGTGATGGACCATGGTTAGGACGCCGGCAAAGCATAATATATCAGCACTAGAAAATCCGTAATAATCGGTTTTAGTCCAAAAACACGGTTGCTAAAAATCAGGGCAAAAGTATGATTAAAAAAAATCAACTTAAAAACTCGTAAATATTTTTTGCTAAAAAAAATAAGTCAAAAAAGCCAGATATACATAGATGACACAATTTATCACTCGTACTTATAGGGCAATGATTTCATGCCACCGTGGTAGAGTAATATGATACAACAACCTTAAAAAACCATCTTGTGGCCATTTGTTTAATCCAAACATTGAAATACACACTCTTTTCATTCTAATGAACAATAAAAAAAAAAAAATTTTGATAACACGACTTAAAAAGTACTTTTTTAGCTCAATTAACATAGGCCTTTTATTTTGGTGAGATGCTTAGATCTCAACCTTAGAAGGATTTTTTTCATTTCTAATTTTTTTGAATGGCTTTATTATCATCAGATGAACAATGTTAAAAAGGAAAAAAATGATTTTGAGTTTACACAGGCTAAGATCTTGAAATTCATAAAATGAATGGTCTAAATTTGTTTTTGAAAATGACTCATTTTTACCACATCTAAAGTTCAAATTTAACTTTTTTTTTGGGGGGAGATTGATTATTGAAATGAAGAGAGTGTGTGTACAAAATTTGGGATCATACAAATACCATAAACATGATTTTCTAGAAGTATCGTTGCATTATACTATGATACAACTATTACATTGCATCATTCCTCCAATATAATAAAGTCATTAATCACTAGTTTTATGTCAAGACTTGGTCGCATTTTAAAATCGTATTAGACAATTTTCAGCAATCACATCCATATTATAGAAAGATAATATGCTTTCTCCGCCGTCATGGCACAAAACATAAAATGCAACAGCAATAGAACACAACTACATTAATAAATAACAAGAATAACAACCCAAGGTCTAAGATTGATTTTAGAAAAATAGAGAATAGAGAATGATTATGGTTAAAAAAACTAAATATCGAAAATCATGAAACACTGGGCTATCCAAACGGTTGTATTGTGTATACCAATGAAATAACACAAGACTCTAAAAAATGAGAAATTAATCAAATATATACAAAGATAAATTACATAAGGCTAACATGTACCAAGCAATATCGGTAAGCAAACCCACATATTCAAACCTCACCCTGAAAATTTTGCTCGAGTAGAATCTCCCGCTCTTCCTCTTTACAATGGAGCTTTTGCTTTAATTAAAAAAAAAAAAAAGATTTTCCACTGAACTCATCCTCTATCTCTACAGTTTTGGGGAAATATAATTTTTGGGGATAATATTGTTTTTCTGTTGGAGCTTTTTCTTGGAACATTTTTTTTTGTGAATATTTTGGTGAAATTTTTTATGAATTTCTATGTTATTTCTATTTTAAATCATGACTCTTGATTTAATCCCACTCTCAGTAAGCATATCTCAAAACCAAAATTTGAGTACTTCAAATCAATGACGAGAAGGAATGAAATTGAGAAAAGTAAAACATAAAGTTCTTTTAGAATAATTTTATGAAGAAAATGTAAAAGACGAGTCTCTATCTTTTTAATAAAAAAAAGTTGATCTTTTGAAATTTTTTTGAAAACTGAGTTTTTTTTTCGTCTTTTTTTTTTTTTAATCATGTTTGAATAGGAGACTTACTATGGGATGGACCACTAAATGGATTCTACGCTATTATCTTCTTCCACAAAATATATATTTTCTTCTTCCACTTGTGCTAGAATATTACAGGTTCCTTGTATCCGTTACACAAGCAAAACAAAACGATTTATATTGTATGCTCACATGTACACAAGCAAGGCAAAATGATTTATATTGTATGCTCACATTTACAACAAAAAAAAAAAAAAAAAGAAGGTACACAAGCAAGGCAAAATTACCTTTCAACCATTTTACAACAGTTGTCATAACACCTCACATGTGTATATTGTATGCTATAAGTGCTTCAGTAAAGAAGATTGGCTTCTTTATTTTAACTGGAAAATGTCCTGCTCATGGAGAAAGTAAAGGATTTCTAAAACGATTCAATTTGTAAGTCGTTAGTCCATCTTATATGAGCATCAGCATATGATCTCATACTGGACGGACTTAAGATTGAGAAAAAAGGAGGGAAGCCATTTGTTCTCGAAGTAGATGTATGAGAAGCATTACCTGTTTCGGAGCTATGCATTTCTAAACTAGTGTTTGGCTGCCCTTCGCCGTAAAAGTGGTTCAATGTCAAGAGCATTGATCTTCGCAGCAAGTATGAAGTCATTCTCTGTAAGCCCACCTGTTGAAAAATAAGCGAGAGTCAGAATAGCATGACAAATTTGAACTCAACGCATCCATGAATGTGCATGGGCATGTTTCTTATCACTTAGCCAGATTGTGATTGTGAAGATGGTTTGGCTGAAATAGTTGCTTACTTGCTTCAAGATATTGCTAATCTAATTGTGTGCTCCACTAACATATCTTGCGATAGCCAAGTGGTAATGTAATTCTTCTTCAATCAGGTTTTCCACGAGTGCGTATAGGATGTATGCAACAACTTCCTATGGGGGACCAAAGTAATAAGGTCAAAATTCGTAAAAGAGTAAAACTGAAGATCCAATCAGTGATTTAAAAAGCGACCCGCCCAGCGCTTGCATGGCTACCTAAGCAGTCCAGAAGGCCTGAGCACATCGCCCAGGCCTAAGCGACAAAAAAAAGATGGAAATCCTTGGTTGCCGGTGAACCCGCCTAGGCGAGCGCCCAGCCCTGGGCGGCCGCTGGGTGCTTGCCGAGGGCATGTGACTCGCCCAAAGGCAGAAAAGTTATTCGTTGAGGACATTTTTGTCATTTTGTAATACTAAAGGGGCAAAATTGTGGGTTTTAAGTTCATTTGAAACCTAAAACCAATTAGAGCCTAATTTAGAGAGAAAAACCCCAAAAAACTGGTATTTGGTGATTTCTATAGGATCGAAGGGTTTCTAAAAGTCATGAGAAATTGATCTAAACATCACCCATTGATATTAGATTTAATTTTAGATGTTTTGTAAATCTATTTGAAGTTTTTTAGAAGATTTTGAGTCCTTAGAAACATCTTAGGTAGAAGTTTGGAGATCAAGTAATCAAAGTTAGTGATTTTTTTTTTATTGCTTGGATAATTCATAATTGGAAATGGACTTGTGGTTATGTTCTTATGGAGTGTGTGCTCTTATGTATTGTGTAGTATACTTTTGAATTTTGATGTGCCCTAAATCCCTAATTCTTATGTTTTTATACAGTTATACTTATACTGTTACAGACTATAGAGACATTTTTCTATCTTCTGGGTCTCAGGTTCTAGGCGCCCGCCTAAGCACTGGACCTGCCTAGTGTTTTTTGAAACACTGGATCAAGTGAATGCTTTAAACTGAATTCAAGGATGCTTTTAAATGAGAATTTTTTACCCCCACCTCCCTCCCTCCCTCCCTCCCTCGATCAACTAGATATTTTTAAGTAGGTCTTCTGCGCTTTCTATTAACCTTTCACGCATCTACTTCATCTTTAACCCATATTATCTCTCATGCAGGCAGGCACGCACACACGCGCAGAGAGCCCACTCATTCCACGAAATCTACCCTCAACTTCTTATAAGCCCTATTTGGTTGCTTGACCCTTACAAGTAAATCACTAGATTCAGTACAGTAACTTGATGATATGAAAGGTACATTGGGTCATCATCTATCATCCAAGCCTTTTTCCAACTATTTGGGGTCAGCTACATGAATCCTGGTCTATCATTCTGCTCTATCCAAGACTATACCCTCAATGAGGCCATAAGTCGCAATATCTTTTCTCACTACTTCTAACCGTTGATTCAAAAAGCAATCCGCCCAGCGCTTAGGCGGGATGGGGGGCCTAGGCACACTGCCCAAGCCTAGGCAAACCAACTAGGCAGGCTGTCCCTGGGCACCAGCCTAGGGACCCTAGGCACCCGCCTAGTACCAGCCTAGGGCATGCGCCCAGGGGATTGCACCTACTAGGTGGAAAAAATGCCCATCGGGTGAGGTATTTTTGGTGTTTTTTTTGTTTGGATTATAAAAATTGAATGAGTATGCATATTTTGTACAAAATATGTACCTAAAATAGGGTTACTGAATCCCATTTGTCCCCCTTTGAACCTAGGCCACCCAGGTTCTTGGTGGCCACTTAGGCGCTAAGCAGCCTAGACCCCAGCCGCCCGATGTTTTTTGAAACACTGCTTCCAACCATGTCCTTTTGAGCCTACCCCTTGCCTTTGTTTAGCCTTCCACTTCAACCAACTCCCACCTCTAGGTCTGTGATGAACATAGCCAGCCCACCTAAATCTTCGTTCTCTCATTTTAATACCTATTGGAGCCACACCTAAAATGCATTCATTCTGAATTCTATCCCTTTTTGTTTTGTCACTCATCCATCTCAACATCTTCATCTCAACTACACTCATTCTATGGATAAGTTGCTTCTTGACTACCCAACATTCCGCCGCATAAAATAAAACTGGTCTCACAGTTGTCCTATAGAACTTCCCCTTCAGCGTTATAGGTATGTAGCGATCACATAGAACTCCGGTTACACATCTCCACCTCGTCCACCCAGCTCTAATTCTATGAGAGACATCTTCTTCAATCTCGCCATTTTTTTTGGATTATCGACACAAGATATCGAAAGCGCGCTCTTTTTAGTATTACTTAGCCCTCAATCTTAACTTTTTCCTCGTCTCTACTCCTATTATTATTCAACTTGCATTCCATATACTCTGTCTTAGTCTAACTAATTTTAAAACCTTTAGATTCTAGAGCATCCCTCCAAGTTCTAACTTTGTGTTGACGCCGCTTCATTAATAGAAACTATATCCTCCGCGAACAACATACACCACAATACCTCATCTTGTAGCTGTATAGTTAAGTCGTCTATAACTAACACAAAGAGGTATGGTCTCAATGAAAGGTTCTTTGGGTCATCCAAATCAAAATCTCAATGTACTAATGGCACTGTCATGGCAGCTTAGGGATCATGGAAATGCAACTTACTTCGCCCTTTAGACCAGATATTTAAACTTGCATTCCCAATAACCAACTCTCAGAACTTTTTCTGAAGTCCACTCTAATACTCAGGCATGTTCTTACGCCCACCACTTACGAAGAAAAGAAAGGCGAGTCTATGCAATATTTTCCCAACAATCACATCTAGATTAACACAACTTTGCCAAGAGCTTCAGCATTCAAGAGAAGAGCACTTCCATCTGGGAATGCCTCGATTTAGTCAGTATGCTTCTATGCAATATTTTAACCTCAAATTCCAACTAGGTCCAGTTTTTATGCGCCACGGAAGCAGTTATTGACGCGACCACCATTCATTTACAAAGGATGGAGAAGATCATGCCCCAATTGCGATACATGCATGATACAATGGATGGTGGATGCATCAGGAGATGCAGTCCATAACTGCATCCCCTGACACATCAAACACTTTTCGAAATCTTGACTGCTTTCCTTCAACATCACTGGTCATTAAGAAGGAAAACAACCCCCTTCACTTATTGAACTGCTGAGAATGCCAAAAAGATGCAGTTATTGTGGCCATGGATGTTCTTCTTAGCATTATGGACATGTATATTACATTCCCAAGTGAAGTTTGATAATTGTACCTTCAATTTTGTAGTGTAATTCTTCTATTTTGTTTCTCTTCATAAGCTGATTGGTTTGTAACATCGTCTTTACTGGGTTTCTGTACATAACTGAGAAGATGACCCACTACGAATATGGAGTTCTCATTCATTCCTGCTTAACATTTTCCCATGGCACCAATCAAAACTGATAAATATTTTTGAATGGTACCAGTATCTGACCTTGGGGTTAATGAAAAACCTGATCCCTATGTGCACACTCAAAGTTTGCAAAACAATCTTCATAAGTTCGTCTCCCACACCAGACATAAACCCTTATTGATTTAGAGTTATGAAGGGTCACTATAGTCCTTCAAGGTCAAAGAATTCAGGACTTACGAAGGGTCAAGAGAGAATTTAGAGTTCCAAGTCAAAATAATCCAACTTCTGAGGCAAATATTTTGGATGCAACAGGAAATAGGGTACGGAATACTCAGTCCTAGAACCTGATAAGAGTACATGAGTACATGCATGTCAGATTGTCATAGTGAAAAAATTGATAAAAGTTGTTCTTCTTAATCAGCGGCGGTGATAGCATACAACTGAACTTCTGGCAATTACTCGTTAGAATGATCATAATTATCAGAAATATAAAGTTCCTACCCATGCATAAACCTCAGAATAATGTAAATAATAAAAACAAAAATTCAGAAAAATGGGCTTTTCCAATAGAACATGTGATTTACACCACTATTTTTAGAATTTCTTTCTTAATAGTAAATTGCATGTTACATATTTAGATCATAAAACCCATAACATTTAGTCAAACATCAACTAATGATCTCATCATGCTACAAGACTAAGCTTCTTAAGAAAACAGGCTATTAAGATTCCTTATCAACTTAAACAATCAAAAACAGAATCCATATTTTCTCATAAAGGATTTACAAATGCTACTTGGTACTTAAGTATCTAACCAGATCAACATCATACCAACTGAATGTGTCCATATCTCAATTTTCACATTATTCCAGCCAACAAGATGAAGATCAGGATGGTGACCTGCAGAGGAAAATCAAAGGTCAAAAAAATTGTAGGGATTATCATCTCATTTCATAATCATGTATAAGACTCCAGAAAAGAAAATGTTCACATCTGAAAGACATCAGCAAAACTATGAGCAAAATTTTCATAAAATTGATGCATGCTTAAGGGTACAAAAGGATCAGTATCCTCTGCAACTTGAAATGGGTATTCTGTTGCAAGGGTTCTTGATTTAATGCAAGGTGGTAACAACCTTAGAATTGCAACAAAGCAATCTTGTCCTCCAACAAATGCAAATCATAGAAACTCAATCACAAAATAGCAGAATCTACAGTTTGGTACTAGATACTATCCTGGTGCAAGTATGGGGCAAGCTCTGATCAGACTATGCACTGGGCATGTTGAATGGTTTGTGCTCACCAACATAAAGATAGTTGCTAATACGGATGAAAAATGCTGCTGGACATTTTGGTCATACACCATGAATGCTATAAATAATGAAGAGGACAAGAAAAACTGTGACCACCAAGCACAAGGAACACTAGAATGCTAACTGTCTCGCAAGACATTTATAATTCCCACCCTCACCCCAATGCCTTTCCAAGACCCAACCAATGATCATAGCCAGGGAATCACTGGCAAGAGTGCAAGTAAAACAGGAAAGAACCGCAAAGATCCACATAATGAAATGACGGTATTCATTCTTAAATGAATGTAACATTCATATATCCAACAATAAAGTTCAATCCATGCAAGAAAGGGGCCTAAAACTCAATTCATCTATGCAATCTCAAGCTCAATCCATGAAACAAAAGCCCCAAAAATTATATGGAACCTCAAAAAGAATACACAGCTCAGAGCCCATAGATGAGAGAAAAAGAAGAGAGAACCTCCCCTGTGAAGCCTACTTTGGAAGAGAGTGAAAGGTGGGGAACAAGAGAGTGCAGAGATCTATGGAGAGAGAAAGAGAGAGATATTTTATACCTGGAGAAAAGAAAGAGGGGAGGGGAGCAGTGGTATGAGAGAGAGAGGGAGGAGGTGGGGGAGCAGCAGCAAAAGGAAGAGAGGTGAATGTAGAAATTAGGGTTAGAAGAAATATATCCCGATAAAATTTTCCCAGAAAGTTGTGGTGAGAGGGGTGACCATGCACTACAACTTTCCTTAAGGGAACAATGAAAGAGGGAAGCATGGGGTTCCGACTTTCCCAGCTTGCCCCTGAAACAAACTGAGGAAAACTATAGGAGATAGAAAAGACAAAAACTTTCTCTACTTGTCACAGTTATCAATCACAGCCTTAGAAATGGTTCCATGGATGGGATTGTAGCAACTATGTCCTCTTTCCTCTCCCTCTTAATAAAATCAAATTATAGACTTTTATGCAATTCTCTATTTGAGAATCCAGCAAGTAGAGTGAAGAACCCTAAATTTTCTAGAATTGTTATATTAAACTCAAATATATTAATTTTTATGCGAACTCTCTGTGAGTATATATGCTACAAGTCATAAGCTGCTTCTCCTATAATGCTATCATCTGTCACTCCACCAGAAAAAGGCGATGGCTTGTCAGAAAGGCTTCCAAAGAGGTCACCCACTAATAGTACTCTTGCCCATAGTTGTCAGGATCTCCCAACATAGATGGTGATTCTACTCCAAAATCTCGCTCCTGCACTTTGAGGAAATGATCTTCAAGAGATCTCGTTTTCTGCATTTTAGGATCTTGATGTACTCTACGGATGCGGATTCCTATTGTTAGGGATTCCAACCTTAAAGACCAAGACAACTACCAAACCGATGATTTTCTTAATTTATAGCACCATAATTTATAGCCAGCTAGCAACACAATTATACTTTTAATATGCATTGTTTGCTGGTCATAAATAAAGAGGTCCCTACTTTAAAGAGTTTAAGTAGTCCAAAATTTTACGTGCTCTTTTAGGTTGGAAGCAAGATCCTCAAAAAATCAGGATTAAGATCCCAAAAGGTCTAGATCAACATCCCCACAAGGTTGCGATCTCGATTCCTAACATTTGGTGATCTAGATCCCTAACAAATGCATTGTATGGACAACACTCCCAACAATAGGGTTCTTCAAGTGTTTCACAAGTGCCCACTCCCGATCCCACACACAATGCTGCTTCTAATCCCCAACAACTATGCTCTTGCCCATGCAATCTTACCTTCAGAGTTCTGATCCAGTGCATTGCTGCTGGCATGACCGAGTGATGTTATATTCAAAACCCTAAAATCAAAGTGAGAGGATATGGATGATGTCGAGCTCCTTAGGACAGGCATGTCCCTGTGGCAGTCTTCTTTAGATCACTTTATGAGATTGTTAGCAGTTTCTCTGCTCCTACAAATCCCTTTCTTCACCTCCTTATTTTTCTTCCTCAAGAGCATATGATATAGACAAGCCTACTCCAAAATTATATCAAAGTTTAACTGCCGGTTGGAAAAAGACGACATGGATTTCAGGTCGCTGGCTCAAAGGCCAATATATACAAAAACTATTAATATGATGGACTTAGTCACAGTTCAAGGCCCTTACTGGTTTTCTCAAGCAAGGTTTAATCAACATGGACAGGGATGGGGAATAGGCCCAGCCAACCACCCTCAGCCCATGGATGACCTCAAGAGAACCCATCCTAAAATGAAGAAAAGTGAAATAAACTCAAGGAAGGAGAAGGCATCTATTCCTGAAGAATTAATACTCCGGGAAAGGGATATGAATCAAGGTTTTATGAAAGAAGCAAATCCTTTACTAAGATATATCAATAACATTCTCAGAGCAATTAAAAGATACATTAGCCAAATATTTGCAGCCTAGAATGCATGTTATTAAGGATGAGGAACCTAAAGAACGAACTATGTATGTATACCCTCTGCCTCTGCAACATCCGCCACAAGCTGAAAGAACTCTAACCCTTTGGTGAAACTCTTCACTTTCCAGGATCTATGAAGTTTCAAGGTGCCACCTTCACTTGAGAGGTCCCATCCTGGTACCTAAGTGCATTAAAAAATAATTAAATAAATAAATAGCCCTTGTAATATGGACCATAGCCATCTTATGAATGGATAAAAAGTCAGTACCTTTGGAATTAGCTCATGAGCTGATTGTTCTGACATCGACGAAATGTCCTTCGCATTACATGGTACACACGTTTTGCTCAACAGATCTATTTCAGAATATAATGTCAAGTATGGGTGAGATATATCACTCCTAGGAACCACAATTCTACTAGTTCTAAAAAAGTTATGGATTTCCATGTATGCACCACTAAATGGAATATGTAATTCGGAAGCATCTATGAAAGCAAGATGATACTGGAATATAAACAGTTCTGATAGCCAGATTGTATCTAAGAGAATCAAGTTAACTTTCCAACTGGTATGTGCATCATGTGAATCCTGTAATTTTAGAAGTGTATATAGATTGGATGGCATTGTTATCCCCTTTAGTTGCACACTGTAGAGAAGGAAATGGAATGAGTTCCCAACTTTCCTTCCACACATTTTATAGGAAGTTCAGGTTCTTATAAAGTTAGCACATTTCTTCTTATTAATCTCATTTTTGGTTTGTTAATGTTAGCTACCACATCATTGCTTCCATTTTCCTACCCATATGTCAGTTGTTACTATAAAATGAAGCCCCTTAATGCACAACAGATCCTGATAGTAGCAATTTATATTTATAAATATGTAAGAAGTTGCTGCCCAATCTCTGAAACCATAACTTTCTTGAACCCACTGAATAATACTAGATGACTAGACTAAAATAAAAAAGATAACTCCAAAAAAAGAAAAGTTTTAATTGATTGAACTCAGAACTCATTCACCAATCCAAAACCTTATATAACAGAGTAAAAAACTAAAAACATTATCTTACAAATATAAACATTATAGGAAAATACACCAAACCAACACATTTATAATTCAAATCAGCTATAGGTCAAATGGCAAACTGCAAGAAACATGTAAAATTCACTAACTCAGAATAACAAGTAAAACTGATAGAAATAGGACAATATAAATTTATTCCTAAAGAATTGAAGTAAATTTTGTTGATATTGGTTGCAGAGGATGTATCATAATTGTAGACCATTAAGAACCTTTCAACTAGGGTAGCTTTAGTGCTCTAAAAACTGCTATCAAATTTGAAGAAGAGACAAAAGAATCATGTTTCCAATTCACATGGAACAAAATCACATCAGTAGACAGCACATATTAGCAGCAAATCATAGGGATAATAATGTTTTAGAAGTTTTTGTTTCATGTATGAAGTGCAATGTTCAAAAACTCGAAGGCGCCTGCATAGGCATTTTGGGGAATAAGGCCGTGGGCCTGGCCACCGCAAATGGGTTTAGAGTCCTAGGGAGTTCTTCGGGTAAGGGTGGCACTCAGGTGGGTTGACCTGCTGGCCGGGTGGATTGACCCGCAGGCCGTGTGGATAGACCTGCTGAACGGGTGAATCAACCCAAACCATTCTCGGTCCGGGTCCATGTGCTGGACCTGGCAGGTCAGGTCCAAGGTCCGGGTCCCGTCCAGGTTGAGGTCACTATATAAAATAATATTTTTATTTTTTCTGGGTCGGGCCAAGGTCTAGATGACTTGGAGCTGACCATGGTCCAGGTCGGATCCAAGTCCAAATGACATGGACCCAACCTAGCTCCAGGTCCATGTGAAACCTAGTCGGATAGGGTCCTGGCCAGAGTCACCCCGGACCCGACCCAAACAGTTGCCACCCTTATCTTAGAGCAGGGGTTTAGGCCGCCCCCTAAGCAGTTTTAGGGCCCTAAAAGTCCTGAAAATAAAAAAATAAAAAAAATAAAAAATCACGGGTATCATCATTTACCACATTCACATAAAAAGAAAACAAAAAAATTGCCATTTGGCAAATGGCAACAAAATTCAAAGTACATATTACATAAACTGATAAAATAAACATCAAAAATTCAAGTTTTAAATGAAGACTGTGAAGTAAACAAACCAAACTCGAAAAGACCACCAAAAATATACGAAAACTGGAAACAAATCGAAAAACGAACTTCCTAATATGTGGAAACCAAATGAAATATAAAAACTACCTAATATTTTGGTTTTCCAATCAAACAAAAATCACATAATGTCAATCTAAAAAAATCAATCACATAATATAATAAAAGATAATCTCCCTAAGATTTGATTTTCCAATCCTAACATTCACAAAATATCAATTTAGTTCGAACTACTCACAAAATATAGGCCCAAACCAGTAAATATTCACAAAATATTCCAATTACAACCAATGTAAAAATATCACAAAAGAAAAACAAAAACATAAAAGAATATCAAGTCATAAGACATTATACAACAATAATTAGCAAACCCAAATTCAAATATTGTAATGCACTGATCCAAAATGAATTCGATATAGGCCCAAATCGGTAAATATTCAGAAAATATTTCAACTACAAAAGAAAAACAAATAATAAAAGAATATCAAATCATAACACATTATACAAAAATAATACCAAACCCTAATTCAAATAATACAATGCACTAACCTTTTCAAAATGAAATCTATATAGGCTCAAACCGGTGATCTTTTGTCCCTAAAAACCCTCTTATGCGACCACTCCAAACTCCAGAAAGTATGAGGAAGCACATCTTTCGATTTCTTGCGAAATCGAAAATATTGAAATTTTTTTAGATCTTGATAAAGATCTAGAAATCTTAGATTTTTTTTTTTTTCTCGTCACTCTCTAAAAATCTTACATTTCCCCCTTTTTCAGGAAGAAAATGTCAAAAATGCTCCTAGTGCATTGAGGAGTTGCCTAGGCTCCTGCTTTTAGGTGACCGCATGGACACAAGACGCCTAGGAAGCCCACCAAAGAGGCGCCTAGGCATTTTGTCTTCCAGGCTGCCTAGGCAGCCCAGCGGCAGAATTTTTTAACAATGATTAAGTGGTTAAGTTGCGACCATGATCTCGGATTCAAAGCACATATTTATATATCCTAGCAATTGTAACAAAATAAAGGAGGTCTGATATTTCAAAACGGACAACTAAACTAGTTTATGTATACAAATCAAAGTTTTAAACTTCAGTTTGCTACAGCCAAGATGCCAAAGGCTTCAGCTCTGGCTTCCCAAGCAAAACCACGCAATGAAGCTCTTTAGCATATGCTCCCTGGTTCTTCTGATACTGCTTCAACCTCTTCAACTCAAATCCACTAGAAATGCTTTGTCAATCCCATTGGATGAAAAAATATTTTTTTGTTTATTATTTCACTTTACAGCAATGAGAAAAATTAGGGCCAAATATCTGCCCCTTGGCTAAATTAATCCATTCTATTTAAATGGAACTTTTAAAGAGGAAGAAACCCTGATTTTGCACCTATCCTTTTGAGTTTCCCCCAAATTTAAACAAATAGAAGTCTTCCTATTTTTAACAAAATCCTAAGTTCAGAAGTAATCTTCCCCACCTAACCGAAACAGGGTCCAAAACATTGATTCCTATTATGAAAAATAAGAAACTTTTCTAAATCCAACATTTAACATCAACGTCTATCTTACCGCTTGCCTTGGCATGACATCTCAACATGAACAATGGTACATTACAGTTAAACTATTCAACTATCAAGTCCTTTATTTACCCCAACAAAATCTCTCTCTCTCTCTCTCTCTCTCTCTCTCTCTCTCTCTCTCTCTCTATATATATATATATATATATATATATATATATATACCCATATATATTATATATATATATATATATACCCCATAAAAAATATATATGAATTCCTTTTATTTCTTGCCCGGCAGCATGAAGGAACCTACATTCTTAAGGATTCCAGAACTGCAATCAGTTATGAAAACAAACTGTACTGATAACATGAAATCCAACCACTGGTTTCTTCACATGTATGCATTACACATCCCATTCTAGGGACTTCTTCAATCTGTTTATGCAGAAAATGATGCAAGTAAAAATAGTGCCCCTGCCTTTTGTAATTGCAGTGATTTAACAGGGAAGGTTTAAAACTAACAGAACAAAGGGATTACCTACAGAACTCCTAATTAAATTGAAATTCTCGTACCACTATTTTTCAATATTACTTGGATCCCGTGATGAAAATACATCATCATCATCCAAGCCTTATCCCAATGATTTGGGGTCGGATGCATGAATCATGTTCCTCCATTCAACGTAGGCTCAGACTTCATGATAAGATGAGGTAAAGTTTTACACTGGCTGCCTACTTAACGCAACCCACCCCTTTACCATGGCTTGGGATGGGTTAAGGAAAAGTTTAAGGTCCTCACCCTTATTAGACCCCCTTGATGAAAATACCAAAACCCTAAATATGTAGATTTAAATCAAATTCATACATGATTGAATAAACTTATGAAGAAATAGGTGTTATGCATGCACCTTCTAGTGAAAGCATAGTTAGGGATCGAGAGGGATCATGAAAGGCTAAAAGATCCTTATGGCTGTGAGTGTCGTCCGTACAATGCATATGTTAGGATCTAGATCCCCAAATGTTAGGGATCTCATTCCCAACACTCATGAGATCTCAAACCCAATCATTTGGGGATCTTGCCCCCAATTTTAAAGAGTATATAAAATTCATTCCCCAAAAAATTAAAAATCTTAAAGAGTATATATAACGTATGTCTATATAAACTCTTTAAAGTATGGATATTTTTATTTATAGCCAGCAAACAATGCAATTATATTCAAAGTATAGTTGCATTGCTAGCAAGCTATAAATAAAGAAAATCATGAACTTGGTTGTTACCATGATCTTTAACGTGGGGATCAAGGTACCTAAAAATTGGGATCAAGATCTCAAAATTTAAAAATTAATATCACTTGAAGATTCCCCTTCCAAAATGCTAGAGCAGGGTCATCATAAAGATTGGGAAATCCCAGCATCTATGAGTGAAAGCACTGAAAGTGGACAATGTGAACTAGCTCAGTCTCGCTAGAACACTTACATAAGTCCAATGATTACAATAAGATCTCAAATAAGTAAATAAAAATTCAAAATTGGATTCTAATTTGCTACCACTTCTAAAAACTCTTCATTACATAATAAAAAATTATATCAACTTGAATTTGGCAACAAGACACATAAGAAAGCAATAAAGTAAATAAGATGCCAAAAGATAACCTCTAATGGACTTTGCACACCCCACACCGGGTCTCCTCCATCGATGGCACACGGGATGTAAGTCTTTCTTGAATCTCACAAAGTTGGGAGGCTTAGGCTAAAACCCTTCAATAGATATGAGAGCATGTGGAACAAACAAGGGGCTTCTCTCTTGTTTCTCTATGTACGGCATTCCCTTCTATGCTTACATCAATGGGGGCATGCCCCTTTTCTTTTCTTAAAGGGTATGAGAGAGAGAGAGAGAAAGATAGAGAGAGATCTAGAGAGGGTGGCGTGCCACCTTTGGTGAGAGCGAGAGAGAGAGAGTTCTAGGTGTAGGTGGTGAGATGACCTCCAATAAGAATTTTTATAGAGATGCGACCAAGGTTAGGATTTCTAGGGTTGGCCATCTTTATGGAGATTCCATCTAGACCATTGATCATGGGCGACCTATGAGAGATCTTAGACATACAATTCACAGATCAACTATCATGATCTAAAGAAAGGTACTAGAACATTATCCCTCAGCTTTCTTAACCTAATCCCATCAAATATTTAGCATAGAGAAAATATATTGCACTTTCCTTATATTTTTAATCAATCTCTACACATGCATCTTTCAAAGTCAATTAGCCATTATTTACAAAACTTTCATTTTCTTCTTATATTAATTGCATGGCTTATAAGACAAGTCAAAAATAAATAGAAAGAGGGAGAGAAGTGGGGTGTGCCTCTTCATGGGCATAGTGGGCCCCACACCGTCATCAAGTATGTGCTAAAATGGTGGGGCCCAAAGAGTATAATAGACCCTCATATTTTTTAATAATTTTAAAACTATAAAATGATTTTTTGAAAAAGATAACTAATTTATTTTCTTCTCTGAATATTTAGATACCATAAAATTCAGTTTAGCTTATTTTAAAAATCAATTTTGGTGAAATAAAATATCCAAAGACTTCTAAAAATTTATTTTAATAGTCTAAAAATCATTTAAAACTAAATTAAGTATTTTTAAATTAATTTGATGGGAATCGGATCCAATTTCACTAAGGAAAATGCGAAAAAACTAAGGCGCTCCATCTCTACTAGTAATTATGTCCCACACTCACTTTTTCAAACAGATTCAGTAGCTCCCATGACCTACAGTCCATCAAAGGGGTTCAAGATTAGACTACCAAAGCCAGCCAACAGGTGCTGAGAATACAATCCTAGTCTATGGACTACAAGTTTCCCCCTAGGGACAAGCCCAAGTCACAAAGACTTGTTCACACACGTCGCAATGGTGCATGGGGGCTATCTCTTGTACATGTACTTGCAACACCCTCAATGGTGTTCACTTCCTAATAAGGCTATCATATGTATATGTCGTATGATGGTCATGATGAAGATTTGGCCCTTATCCCTTTGGGTCTACCAATCACACACACGGGTCACATAGTCCCTTGGCTGACTACCATGGACATCTCTCCAACCTCATCAAGGGGCAACCCTGCTGACCCTTCTCACATGTGTTATATGCCCAAGTATTATAGGGTTTTAGAACTCAAATCGGCCTTGCTCATCAAGCCTAATGTGAGTCTTAGCATCAGTATTATCAACTTCGGTCCCTCTGGACCATACTCCCACTGGAGTTCATTGTTCTACTATCACAAAATTCATTATATGCTCTCGTAAGGCCTTTAAATGGCCACAAAACCCCAGCAAGAATAACATGTAAATAATCTATACGGCAATAAATTAGGGATCATCGTGGCCCAAAATGTCATCAAACTTATAAAGATCATATTTATCAAACAATAGATCATATATCGTAAGCTAGAATGTTGAAACCCTCTAATAACAATTCTGCAATCCAATCAACATAACAAATCAACTCAAGGGACAAGGAAACAAGAAATTCGACCATGAAATGCGAGCACACACCTTCGGCTTCCGAATATGTATTGAACCAATAACATGACTTCCATTTTGATGATAATTCCAGGTGAAGTAATCTATCAACTCCACAATTTGAACTGTACGAGTAAAACAACTAATCTCAAATCACATTATGTGAAATTTTGAAACATGAGAGGGAGTTTTAGGACAAAAGTCATCGACAGTATGCAATCACTAGCAATAAAATATGTAAAACCAGCTTGGGACAACCATATTAGGGCACAAGATGTGGAGGCTGCTTCCAAAATCCAATTTTGAAAGGACATACAATTAGCTTACAGCATAGCATAATAGTTTGGTTGGATGATAATCGAATTCATGTAGGATCAAATTGCAAGCAACAACGTCAAGATTATCAAACTAAGAAATGGTCTCAAGATCATGGGATTATAATGGAATTGAACATTAAATAGACTCACGAACCATTCATAGACTTTCCAAACAAACAGAAAAAAGGAATTTAAAGAAATATTGACAATATACAAATGAACCGAAAATCATTCACATTCTTTCACCATCAACTTTTCATAATGATTTACTAGATTGGGAGCTATAATGATTTGTGAAGACTATTGAGTAAAGCAGCTAGCTAGATGAAGAAAATGGCTAGCTAGATAAAGAAAATGAGTACAAGGTAAAAAACAAATCAGGAAGACAAGTAATGGCATAATATGCATCCTTATAAAGTTCATCATCATTATCATCTACCATCGGAGCCTCATCCCAACTATATGGACTCAGCTACATGAATCTTGTTCCACAATTCCACGCTATCAAGAGTACCCTCAATTAGCACACTGCACCCAGATGCCATACAACGTGTCGCTTATAGGGATTCAAGAGAAGGCCGTTGGCCAGATGTCACCAACTATTGTAATTCTGAACATTTGCAATGGGAATTGTGTCATCAATGGCAGAAGTAATGATTAGTAAACATTGCATTGTACACAGTCCCCAACTATGATACCTAAAATGCATTGGATCAAGATTCATAATAGGATGTGGCAAAAGTTTTCCATTAGCTGCCAACTTAACACAACCCTCCTCTTTTCTCATTGGGGCTTGGGACCGGCATGCAGCCATTATAAAGTTAATTGCCTAGAATTAATACATGATGATTCCTCAAAACAGCATAAGACGGGCACCAGGAGCAATAGGAAGCATAAGACAATAGGAAATTATAGGTTATAGGGAACATCAGTGGCAGCAGACCATAGAGTTCATAGATTCATAGTGCAGTAGCAAGGAAAAATGTGGGTGGAGGAGTTGCAAGACACCAGCAACAGCAACTCCAAGCACAACCCTACTCCAGAAATCCAATTCTGGGCATCACATAATAAATTGCTGTAAGTTGTCTCTCAAAGCACTCTTAAGTTAGTCCACACTCAAAACTAGACAAGTCATTAAGGACCGTAAGTGTTTTTTATAGTGATAGGGACCTTCCCATATGTTCCAAATTTGGAAATATCAGGAAAGAATTGTTAGGATGGATTTACAGGGATAAACCAAGTTATCATTTTTATTTGCTATCTGAACTTGCAATAGAAGATGGTTTATCATAGAAGACCAGTACTGAGACAGTTCAAAGAATGTTTTCCAAACCGGAAGATTATCTACCAATACTTCAGCTGTTGGAGCTGATTCAAAGTTGTAAGAAGAGAAAAAGAAACTTTGTCAAACATTGACCAATGGCATTTTCTCTATGAGTATGAATCCCAATAGAAGTAACCAACATAAGGATTCAAGAGAAGGCTGTTGGCCAGATGTCGCCAACTATTGTAATTCTGAACATTGAGAATTGTGCCATCAATGGATAAAGTAATGATTAATAAACATTGCATTGCATGGTCACCAACTGTGATACATGAAATGCATTGTCCCAATTCCAAAATGCGTGATAGAGACAATCACCAAATTTGTATTATCTCTATGAGTATAAATATTTGTTGGTCAACATTTATGAGAGGTTTACATTTGCGGGAATTGAAACAATGATGGGCATGAGATTCACATTGTCCCAGTTTCAAACAGCGAATATTAGATTTGTGACAACAGAAAACAAGCACTTTTATTGAAGTTATGAATGGTTAATATGGAGAACTTTGCATTTGATGGCTTCCTTAAAAGCGAAGTATCTACATGATTACATATGTGTGTCTGTATATGTATAAGCCAAATACGGGACAGTAACAAAAGCACATTAGAAAGAAGACAAATACCAAGACCCAAGACCAAAAAAATCTTGGAGACAAGAACTACAGAGAGTATATAAACCTACCTGCCACATTGAACATTGAATAGTTGAACCACAGATAGACATAGACAACAGAAAATTTGCACAAATCATGACCGCTTCTCATGCAGTTGTACTGCTAGGCTACTTTGTTTGAAAAAGTAGTTCTCACCACAGGAAATTATGCCCTCCCTTTGTTTCAAACAGTGAATAAATGCTCATTCCAACTCTGAATAAATGCTAATTCCAACTCTGGAAAATTCACCCGAGGCAATTCATTTTCCAATTAGGTGGGACTGTGGAATGACATGGCAACATGTTGCCTTGAAAATGTGCTTTTCCATTTACATAGAAAAGTTTGACAAAACACATGGGGCAGATTGTTGGGCGGTTAAGAAACAACATACCCGTAGGATGAGTGTAGCTCAAATGAGGATGTTGAGATGGATGAGTGGCAAGACAAGAAGAGATGGAATTTGAAATAAATACATTCGGCAGAACCTAGGTGTGGCTCTAATAGGCAATAAGATGAAAGAAAGTAGAGTTAGGTAGGCTGGCCATGTGCCGTGCAGACCCACTACAACACCTTTTAGGAGGTGCAAGTTGGTTCAAGTAGAAAGCTCAAAAATAGGCAAGGGGTACGTTCAAAAGGATATGGTTAAAAATAATGAGAAAATATATGAGGACTTATGGCCTCGCTAAGGATATGGCCCTTGATAGAGTAGAATGGCGGACCAAGACTCATGAAGCCAACCTCAAATACTTGGTAAAAGGCTTTGATGATGATGATGACTGCTTAAGTTGGTGACTTGACTCGGTTTGGCAGAGATTAATTGGGTACGGAGTTTGAGTTTGAACACTAGTTTTCTAGCATTAAATATCATGACTACAAAGCCAAGTCATTCAAAGAAGATTCTTCTCAAAAGATTCTTCTCAAACTTTCATGCACTAAGGAATGCATAGAGAGTCAAACCTACATATTGTTCTTTCGTTTGTAATAAGGACAAGGGTGTAAGCAGACCTTAAATTAGAACTAAAGCATAGATGGATCATCACTACAAACGTTATCAAACGACATTGAGATGGCTATTGAGACTGCAGCCAACAACAAGGGGAAAAAAAAATGAAAGCAAAGTATCAGTTATCCACAAAATTAGAGTATTGATTTCACCATGTTGTACTCGATAAACTAAGCTAGTTTCCTCGACCAAGGAAACAACTTGTTATGATGAGATCAAAAGGAATATCCAGTACAATGATCCCATCTGAAATAAGTTTTACTATCATGTTCTTGTTCCGATCGACAATGAACATCAAGAACGGGAAATGGTTATCTCCAGTGTGTTGGGACTCGAATGAGTAACTCAGCCTCACCGATGGGAGTTTCCCCAAGTTTTGTGTACAACTCAAGGATATTAAACAAAAAAATTTAAAACAATTCTAAAAAATTCAAAAAAAATATTGAATTGATCTATCACTTTTTGTACATAATTTATATGTTTTTTGCAAAGAAGTCGATGAGCGTTTTTTTCCATAAATCCCTACTTTTATATTTACCTTTTCTGGATTTTTTTTAGAATGCCCCCAACTATATATCTGTTTTGTCTAAATTCATTTTTCCAATACTTTTTAAAGTTTACTTGGCTTTTATTTTTCTTTTAATACATTGTCCTTCTTTTTTTTTAATGTGTTTGTCATTTTTTTCAATTTATTGACGGCTTTTCATCCAAGTGCATGACTTGGCCGAGTTACTCAGCCTGGTCAAGGGCGAAGTACCTTGGTCGAAACGATTTTTAGTATTCGATATCTCTGGGCTAAGTATGGAGAGGATACATATATGGGCCCGATCAAGTAACCATCCAACATCATCAGCTAATTAGCAAAACCAAAGCATGGTCCTATTGGATTATATGCAACAGTCGATGATCTGATAAAGGAATCAATCAATCCATCCATATGGTAAAAGCTTCACGCAGAATAACATAAGCTCGACTTCCTCTTTGCTCTCATACGAATTCTAATCAAGCCCTTCACTTGAATTTCAAAAAAATAAACCATAATATGGAAAACAGGAAATAAAGACAACAAGTAGTACAGATACTAATATAACCCATTGTTCAAACTAAAAATGTTGAATCTCCTAAGACAAACAGTGGGTTTTGGAGTTAAAATCAATCGAAGAAATGCTTGAGAAGAAAAAGAAAGAAGAATACCGGATTCCAACGAATCCGGGACGGTTCGCAGGTGAGACATGTTTCCCAAACCAAACCAGAGGAACCTGCAGAAATAACAAATGCGCCGAGGAATCAACAAATTATACTCAGCAAGAGAGAGAGAGAGAGAGTACCCGCGCAGCGTTGCTGGAACTGAGGCAAGCTTGTAACAAACGGTTCATCGTATCGTGGCGGGTCTATGAACAAGGACCGTGGCTCATTTGATCGCGAATAAATGGTCTCTCGGAAAGTACACAATGATCCATACAGCAATGTGGATACAGAGATTATCACCAATCAGTCAATGGGATGGACAGTGATTTCGGTAGTGAGGTGTATAATTGAAACGATAGTACTTGTCATGCATCAGAGGCCTAAAATGGCCCGTGTATCTCAAAATTGAGACTTATTTTAAAGGTTTGAAAAATGTTTCCGTGGAGATGGCATTTCCAGAAATATTTTTCCATGGAGATGGTGCCTTTTTTGGTTTGCATGAAAATATTTTGGGATAGAAAAGTATTTTTTTTACAAATCATTTTTCTCATTTCAAGCCAAAAACAAAGAGTTAACCTCATTTTAAGCTAGAAATAAAGAATTATCAATCCTTGCCTGAACCATCAAAAATTGATTTCTAGTCAGATTTCCCCATACACCCATCATATAAAATAGAAGGGACAATTTGGTATAGAACTCTGTATTATTTGATTGTAGACTCTCTTTTCATTTTTTTGGTCCCTCGTTTATTTACTTTTTACTATAAAATTTAGCTCCAACAAATCTTTTTATGCCATTTCATCCCAAAACCTTTTTCAACCTATTTTTCTCTATCCACCCATTAAAAACGTTTCTTGGTTGAAATGATATAAAAGATTTATTGGAGTTATTTCTTATGATAAAAAGGTCAATAAAAAAAAGATTTTTTTTATGTCACTTGAAAGAAAAATTGAAAGAGTGTCTACCATGAAATAATACGAGGAATTATGGTTCTTTACAAAATTTTCCCAAAATATAATTGGTACCAATAAAATATCCCCACAAATTAGAAAGAGAAATTATCTTAAATTTTAAGTTTTAAAAAAATGAATTATATTAAAATTTTAGAGAGAAAAACTATCTAAATATTTTTAGAGATAAATTATCTCAAATTTTTTATAGCGAGATACCATCTCAAATTTTTAGTTTTAGAGAGAGAGCATCTTAAAATTTTTTAAAGCGAAGCTATATCAAATTTTAGAGAGAAAATTCGTAAAAAAAATTAGAGAGAAGAACTATCTCAAAAGAATTTAAAGAGAGAAACATCTCAATTTTAAAATTTAGAAAGAAAAATATTTCTAGATAGAGAAATTAGCTAAAATTTCAAGTTTTAGAGAGAAAAGTATCTAAATTTTTTTTGAGAGAAAACTTATCGCAAAAATTTCAGAGATAGGAATTATCTTAATTTTTAAGTTTTAGTGTGAGAAACTATCTCAAATTTCAAATTTAATGAGAGAAAATATATCAAATTTTAAATTTTTGAGAGAGAAGTACTTGAAAAATGTTAAAGCAAGAAACTATCTCAAAATTTTTAGAGACATAAACTATCACTAATTTAAAGTTTTAGAGAGAGGAACTGTCACATTTTTAAAGACATAAACTGTCTCAAATTTTATGTTTTGGAGAGAGAAAATAAATTAAAATTTTATAGAGAGAAACTTTATCAAAATTTAAAAATAGAAATATCTCAAATTTTAAGTTTTAGAAAATAAAAGTACTTGAAAAATTTTAGTGAGAAAAGCTATCTCAATTGTTAAGTTTTGGAAGAAGAAAGTATCTTAAAATTTTAGAGAGTAACTGTATCAAATTTTAGAGAGGAAAATTATCTCAAATTTTAAGTTTAAGAGAGATAAACTACATAAAAATTTTCAGAGAGAAACTATCTCAAAATTTTTAGAGAGAAAACTATCTCAAAATAATAGAAAAACCTATGGCAAATTTAAGTTTTAGAGAGAGAAAGTACTTGAAAATTTTTTAGAGAGACAAACTATCTCAAATTTTAAATTTTAGAGGGAAAAAATATATTAAAATTTTAGAGAGAAAAAATATATTAAAATTTTAAAGAGATAAACTATATCAAAATTTAGAGAGGAAAACTATCTGAAATTATAAGTTTTAGAGAGAGAAAGTACTTAAAAAATTTCAGAGAGATAAACTATCTCAAAAATTTTAGAGAGAAAAACTATATCAAAATTGTTAAAGAGAGAAACTATCTCAATTTAAGTTCTAGAGAGTGCAAGTACTTGAAATGTTATAGAGAGAAACTATCTCTAAATTTTTAGAAAGAGAAACTATCTCAAATTTTAAATTTTAGAGAGAGAAACTATCTTTAAATTTTAGAGAGAATGACTACTTGAAAATTTTTAGAAAGGAAACTATCTCATATTTTAAGTTTTAGAGATAGAAAGTATCTTAAAAATTTTTACAGAGAAATTATATCAAATTTTAGAGTGAGAGTTTCAAAAAATTTTAAAGAGATAAAATATATCGAATTTTAGACAGAGATAGTACTTAAAAAAATTTAGAGAGAGAAACTATTTCAAAAATTTAAAGAACGCAACTATCTCAAATTTAATAAAAGATTGCATTATAATAAATAATAAAATAAAAATCGTTTAAAACAATAAAAAAATTTCATGAAAATGTTATACATCTCTGTCATCATCATCATTTTAGCTTTTTTCTAATTAATTAGGATCAGCAATATGAATACTAGTTCTCCAATGTTATACATCCATGTACTATCCAAAATTCAGAAATTTATTTTATAAAAAAATACTTTTCCCTATAAATATATTTCAAAGAAATAATATTTGTCAATCTTTTTCCATATATCCAATAGGCCCCTTGATGTTTAGCCTTTCGAAGTGGAACCAGTACACACCTTTATTTGAGAGCACAAGGCATTCCATGGTGTCATAGGAGAAGAGGGCTTTGCGCACGTGGCCTCCCTCTCACCGCATCTCACCAACTTACCCCGAAACCCCACACTAACTCTAGATTTTGGTTAGAAAAGTATACAAAAATTATTTATTTTTTCTATAAGGAGGTCATAACTATTTTTATTCTTTAAATTTCAAATTGGAAGATTGTAAGAGAGTCATTAAAAAGATTTAAATTCAAAAAAAAAAATTTAGATTTTGTGATTAGCCCAAGCCATCTAATTTGACATCTAATAAATAGGACTACATATTAGACTTATTCAAAAGTCAATTTTATCTCTCCAAATTTACCTTCCAAATTCATGAAGAAAATCATGTATTTTATCTCTCCAAGTTAACCTCCCAAATTTATGGAGAAAATCGTGTAACTTCTCTATTTATATTTATGTATTTCCCTCTTATTGAAACACAGAAAATACATTCGAAATTCACATTTTATCATGGTATCAGAGCATGGTTCTCTGCCCCCAAATCTCTCTTATCTCTGCCCCTTGATCTCTTTGGTTTAAGCATCTCCAGCCAATCCAATAAATCTCTCCATACCGGCTATCGTTCTCTCTCTCTAAACTTCTAATAACAACATGATGTTCTCTCTCCGCTGGTGTTGTTGCTACCTAGAGTCTGCTTTCTCTCTCTGCGGGCTGCCCTTCTTCTATTTGGCTTTCCTTTCTCTGCTCTCCTTCCTCTTCAACCATCATGACAGAACCTACTCTCCCATTGGGTTCTTCTCATGAATCCCCACCACCCCCATATCCTGAGATAGGGTTTTCCAATGTTCTTTCTGGAATATCTGCGAATGCCTATTCATCTTCCCCATATTACATTCACCATTCGGATAGTCCTGGGATTGTTCTTCTCTCCAAAGTTCTTGCTGGCGACAACTATTACAACTAGTCTCGTGCTATGCATATGACATTGAATGTGAAAAACAAATTAGGTTTCAAAGATGATTCTCTCCCTCAACCTACTACGAATTCTTCTATGTTCAACCATAGGGCCAATGATATGGTCACATCTTGGTTAATTTAGGCCGTCTCTGGAGACATTTTTAACAGCATCACCAATGGTGTTTCATCACATGATGTTTGGGTTGAACTGTGAGAATGATTCTCTCAAAACCAAGCACCGAGAATTTTTGAGCTTCAATGGCTCAAAAGGAATTATACACCAACACAGTTGTGTTGCTACACCATAACAAAATGATGAAGTAGAACGTAAACGTCACTTACTTGAAGTTACATGTGTTTTACGGTTTTAAGCAAATCTTCCCCTTGAATTTTGGGGAGATTGTGTCCTCGTAGCTGGTTGTATAATCAACCTCATTCCATCCCCTCTATTGCATAATCAGTCCCCTTATGAAATTTTATTCCATGCCAAACCCAACTATAACAATCGTCGTGTTTTCGGTTGCTTGTGTTCTACATATAATATTCATCACCGTGACAAATTTGATTACCGTGCAAAACCGAGTATTTTTATCGGTTATCCCTTTGCTCAAAAGCGCTATTGAATCTTTGATATTGCTACCCATCAAACTTACACCAGTCGTGATGTCATTTTTCATGAGCATGTTTTCCCATATGCCAACATCCAACACCATGCCACAAACCCCAGCCATGTCTTACATTTACCTGCCCCTGACCATGGCCCACATCACCCATTTCGAACCCAACACACTCTTTTCATTCTCAAAACATTCCCTTGCACCTGCTACTACAATCTTCCCTCCCTTCCACTTTACCCCAATGTACCCCGCCCACCGAGCTCTCCAATTCTCCTTTATTCACTAATAATATCAAATACCAACCTCGCCAATCCACTAGAGCCCATAAACCACCTACCCATCTTAAAGACTATTATTGTTTCTTTTCTCAACCTTCCTTCCGCACCCAATCCACACCGTCTCCTTTTGCGATATGCACTATAAATACAATTTTTCCTCTTTCCAAATTCATGGATTTTCATAATTTCTCACCTTCCCATCAAGCTTTCATTGCAGCTATTTAGACCATTCCTGAACCTTCTACCTTCTCTCAAGCGGTCCAAGTCCCAAAATGGCGAGAGGTAATGGCCAAGGAGATTAAAGCCATTGAAGATAATCATACTTGGATCCTTACCTCTCTCCCACCTGACAAACATGCGATTAGCTGTAACTAGATCTACAAAGTTAAATACCATGTTGATAGAAGTGTTGAATGGTATAAAGCCTGTCTACTCGCTAAGGGCTATTATAGTTACAAAAACCAGCACATCAAGATTTTGAATTTCAAATTAGAGAGACCGAGTCTCTTTTAGTTGTAACCATGCAATATTTGTATCCCTATTTATTAGGGAACAGTTTTGTTTACTCCTTATATATTTGCTCTCCATTAATGAAAAGATCGCGTTGTGATTCAAAACCCAATCCTACTTAACATGGTATCAGAGCGATCAAGTGGGCATTTTTTTCTTTAATACAGACTTGGAGAGATCTCAAGGCCTTGTGCTTCTTTGGAGCAGTAGTCTTGGGCTTCTTCTCCTTTGGGACCTTTGCCTTCTTCTCTTTCACAGGTTTAGAAGGTGGCTTCTCAGCCGCGACTGCAACCCCCACGGGAGCTTTAGAGGAGGCAATCATGTCTACATGAGGCTCAAGGTTTTCAACCGACGCCATTTTTTGCAAACGAAATATTAGAGATAGAAACGACTAATTTGTTTGAAGAAACTTCGCTTGGGGATCTTCTACCAGTGGCCTCCACCGATCTTCCAATCACCAAGTACAATACTCTTTTTCTCTCTCTAAAGAATCTATGTCTCTCTCTTTCTCTATCTCTCTTTAGTTTTTCTAGAGTTCAGTGGACCATGGATCCCCTACAAAAGTCATCAATTGAAAACAAAGGAGCTCTTTAATGCTAACTCTTTCAGTTTCTTTGCTTTCCTCATATGGGTTTATGTTCTAACCCCTGAATTTTCTATTTTCGTGGCTTTTGAGTGGATTTCATGATAGTTTCTTTCTTTCTCAATTGGGTTTTGGATCTTCAATGGCTTTCCCCTCTCAACCAAGTTGTTTTTTTTTCTTGTGACCTCAAGTTTCTTTCTCTCTTATGCCCTTTCTCTCATAGAAATCTTCTCTCATGCTTTTAGTCTGAGTGAAATTTATTTTCCATGTTTGTTTTTTGCTGAGCTGGTTGGTTGTTGGGGCCATTTTCTTGCATGGGTTTGGTATAAGGTTGCTATTGCTTTGAGAGAAATTCTCCCTTATGCTTTTCTTCTGTGAGAAATACTTTGGAGTGTTATCATGTTGATAAACACTCACTCTCATGCTTTTTGTGGCTGACAGTGGTGGCAAAGGGGTTGGGCTTGGGCCTTTTAATGGGTTGCTCTTCATGTTTTTGTTGCTGGTGTTGTAGGTTTCTGGCCTCTTCTTCTTCGACCTTATCAGCCCATGAAACCCTTTCTCTCTCTATCTAGGCTCTCACACTTTCTATTTTCTCCCCGATCTCTCTCTCTCTCTCTCTCTCTCTCTAGAGTATATATGATCATCTGTCCAAAGCAGCCAAACGACCCATGGCATCTTGGTAATGAAGATCCAATAAAAGATTTGTTGCTCTCTCTCACACACACAATGCTCAAACTTTGATAGCAGTCTTTAAGCACTCGCGAGTCTCTAAAGTTTTTCTGTGTGTTTCTAGAAGTGTTACGGTTGTAGTCCCAAATCATCTATCTATGGTCTTTCATCATGACAATGGGCAACCAAGAGTAAAACAACAATCAAAATGTCGTCACCAATATGCCATCTCATTACTACCTGCATCCGTCAGATAATCCCGGTAATGTTCTTGTCTCACAAGCTCTTGTTGGTGATAATTTTGGTACTTGGAAACGAGCCATGAAAATTGCTCTTGGAGCAAAAAACAAGTTATGCTTTGTAGATGTTACTCTTCCCAAACCAACTGCTCCACTTTTTGAAGTTCGAGCATGGGAAAGATGTAATTTGATGGTTATGTCTTGACTGTATAATAGCCTCGTGAGATATTGCTGACGGCGTAGTCTACGCTTAGACGGCCCGAGATCTCTGGCTCGATCTTGAGGACCGTTTCTCCTAAGGGAATGGGCCACGTATTTACGAAATCAAGTGTCTCATTGCCACCTTACAGCAGGAACGCATGTCACTTGCTTCTTATTTCTCTTATCTGAAAGTGTTATAGGCGAATTGACTTCATATTCGAAGATCTCTACTTGTACTTGTGGATCTTTTAAGGAATATCACGAATATCAAAAGACCGAAAGAGTTTATCAATTTTTGATGGGCCTAAATGAATCCTTTGGGACTATTCGGACTCAAATCCTTTCAATGGAACCTTTGCCCAATGTCAGAAAGGTCTACTCTCTCGTCCTTCAAGAAGAAAGACACAAGGGCCTCCAAGCACACCAATTAGTTTCCTCTGAGGCTGCTGCTCTCGCCGTCAATAGTTCCCACAACAGTCAAGTGAAAGGCCGCTTCAAAGAGCGCCCTTGGTGTAATCATTGCAAAAAGTCGGGTCACACTTGTGACAAATGTTATGATATTCACAGTGACCGCTTCAAAGAATGTCCTTAGTGTGACCAATGCAAAAAGTCAGGTCACACTCGTGACAAGTGTTATGATATTCATGGGTATCCTGAAAGAAATTAGAAATGACATCTAAATGGACGTCATAATCATCACCAAAGGGGAGGAAGACATGCTAATAATGCCAACTCTGCTGCCAATTCTTCTCACTACACTTCACAGTCGAGAGGAACACCACCTTTACCTGCTCTCTCTCCAAGTCAATATCAGCAACTTCTGTCTTTACTAAGCATTGATTCCTAGCCATCCAATGCAAAATTTGAAGGTATGTTATTCTGTCTCTCTGCTTCTAAAACCACTCATAATTCATGGGTACTAGATTCTAGAGCATCCCACCATTTCACACCCCATCTATCATCTTCAATGTTACCTATTACTAGCCATCAAAATAAGCCGGTATGCTTGCCCAATGGAAGTAAGACTGTTGTAACACATATGGTAAAACTTCTCTATCCCCTTCCATTGAATTAGAAAATGTTTTGTGTGTTTCAAATTTTTCTTTTAACTTATTGTCTATGAGCAAAGTCATCAATTCTCTTAATTGTACAATTACCTTCTTTTGTACATTTTGTGTCTTTCAGGACTTGACCTCGAGGAGGCTGATTAGAATAGAGGAAATGCGTGATGGACTTTACTACTTCACCCAACTGCCTGTTGCTGCCGCAGTGACAAAGCCAACTATTATATCTCCTCTCATTTGGCACAAAAGGCTTGGTCATCCATCCCGAAATAAGCTTTCTAGTTTTCATCTGAGCTATGATTATCTTTTTTCATTTTCTTCATGTGATGTTTTTTTTTGTGATATTTGCACTATTGCAAAACAATCTCGTTTTCCTTTTCCCTCTAGTTCAAGTAAATGTGACGTTCCTTTTGAGTTAATCCATTGTGACATTTGGGGACCCTATTCCACTACTTCTCAGTCTAGAGCACATTACTTTCTTACTATTGTTGATGATTGTTCAGGATGCACATGGACATATTTGATGAAATATAAGTCAGAAACCTATAAATTCCTTTATTATTTTATTAATATGGTGAAAACTCAGTTTCATTATCAGGTTCGCCAAATTCGAACTGATAATGGTGTTGAGTTTTTATCTAATGTCATGCAAATTTTTTTTAATAATTGTGGCATTATGCACCAAAAAAACTTGCATCCATATTCCGCAACAAAACGGCATCATTCAATGTATGTAAGCACCACCATCTCTTAGAGACTGCTAGTGCTTTATGGTTTCAAGCGAATGTACCCATCAAATTTTGGGGTGATTGCATTTTAACAGCTTGTTACCTCATTAACCGAATGCCAACATCAATTATCTTTGGAAAAACCCCTTATGAAGTCCTCATGAAAAAGCCACCCACCTATGAGCATCTTAGAGTATTTGGGTGTCTTTGTTATATGCACAACAATGACACTTTGCTTCGTGCTCAAAACCATCCATTTTTGTTGGATATCCTTTGGGCCAGTGAGGATATCGTATATTTGATCTCGATACTAAAACTATTTTTACCAGTCAAGATGTCATCTTTCGCGAGGAAGAGTTTCTCTTCTAAGCCATGCCATCCGAGCATAACCATACTCATGTTGTCCTTCCAAAACCTATACAAGAACTTGACACCAACAATACACCTAGTCTGTCAAATGATGAACCTGTTGTTCCAAGTGTTTTACCACCATCCAATCTTGAACAAGATGCAGGACTTCACCAACCCGTCAAAGAGCCTCTATCTTCTCTTCGTTGATCTTCACGTTCTCATATTAAGCCATTCAAACTTAAGGATTACATTTGCTCCACTGTCAACTACAGTCCATCACAGCAAGAACCTTCTTTCTCAGGTAAAGCGTATCCTATCCAACCTTACCTTGGTTAACCCAATTTTTTTTATCCCACAAAACCTTCATTTCCACTATTTGTTCTCACAAGGAACCCACAAGTTTTTCTCAGGCTGTGAAGGACCCAATTTGGCGTGAAGCCATGGCAGTAGAGATAAAAGCCCTTGAAATAAACAAGACCTGAACCATAAAATCTCCACCACCTTTTAAACAACCCATTGGTTGCAAATGGGTATTCAAGATCAAATATAAGGCAGATGGAACCATTGAATGGTACAAGGTGCGCCTAGTTGCAAAAGGGTATACCCAAACAGAGGGATTGTATTACCATGAAACTTTTGCACCCGTCACCAAATTAGTTACCGTCAAAGGTCTTCTTGCAGTTGCAACATCTAAGCAATAGTCTCTTTTTCAACTCGATGTCAACAATGTCTTCTTGAATGACGATTTACATGAAGACGTATACATGAAAATTCCACCAGGCTTTTCTCGAGAAGGGGATAACGAAGTCTGCCAGCTATGAAAGTCTCTATATGGGCTAAAACAAGCCTCAAGAAACTAGTTTCAAAAGTTCTCTCTTGCTCTACTAGATGCTGGGTTCAACCAATCAACTATCGATAACTCTCTATTCACCTTGAAGTCTGGAAATCTCATCACTATTGTCTTAGTATATGTTGATGATATCATCCTCACAGAAAATGATGGAAATCAAATACAAAAAGTCAAACACTTTCTCATGCAACGCTTCAATATCAAGGATCTAGGAAAGTTAAAAATTTCTCTTGGAATTGAAGTTGCAAGATCGTCTCAAGGAATTCTACTCACCCAACAAAAATATGTCCTTGACATTCTACAGGAGACTGGTTTTCTGGGGGCCAAACCCTTATATCTTCTAATGGAACAAAACCTAAAGATTTCCTCTGAAGATGGAAAATTGCTAAGCAACCCAGAATCCTATAGGAGGCTAGTTGGTAGATTGATATATCTCACCATAACCCATCCAGACATCAACTTTGCCATCCACATTCTCAGCCAATATATGCATCAATCAAGAGAGCCACACCTTGCAGTGACACATCGCGTTCTTAGATACCTCAAAGGTACACCAAACCAAGGGATCATTCTTTCATCTAAAAACTCATTCCAAATTTCTGCATATTGTGATTTTGATTAAGCCAGTTGCCTTACTACCCAGCATTCAACGACTGACTATATTACCTATCTTGGAAACAACTCGATCTCTTAGATAACAAAGAAACAATCTACGGTGTCTCAGTCATCAGCAGAGGTTGAGTATCATTCAATGGCAACCACTACTTGTGAATTAATTTGGCTAAAAACTCTATTTTCAGATTTGAGGATTCACCATCCACACCAATGCACCTCCATTGTAATAATCAAGCCGCTCTACACATTGCAGCCAACCTTGTGTTTCATGAAAGAACGAAACACATTGAAATTGATTGCCAGATCATCAGAGAAAAAATTCAAGTTGGTCTCATATCCACTTCTTATGTCCCTACAAAGCATCAACTTGCTGATATTTTGACTAAGGCTTTAGGTAAAAAACAATTTATATTTTTGTTAAGCAAGTTGGGTGTTCTTTTGTCACACATATCAGCTTGAAGTGGAGTATTATAGTTACAAAAGCCAGCATATCAAGATTTTGAATTTCAAATTAGAGAGACTGAGTCTCTTTTAGTTGTTACCATGTAATATTTGTATCCCTATTCATTAGGGAACAATTTTGTTTACATCTTATATATTTTCTCTCCATTAATGAAAAGATCACGTTGTGATTCAAAACTCAATCCCACTTAACAAGGGCTATACGCAAATGGAGGGCCTCGACTATCACGAGATATTTGCCCCAGTGGCAAAATTGGTCACGGTCTGTTGCCTGCTTGCTCTAGCCATTATAAAAGGATGGTATGTTGAACAACTCAATGCTCATAATGTCTTCTTACATGGGGACCTTGCCAATGAAGTCTATATGAAGATTCCTCCCGGTTTTTCCAGAGAAGGGGAGCGCAAAGTTTGCCGTTTAAATACATATTTATATGGCATAAACCAAGCATTAAAGAAATTGATTTGCTAAGTTCTCCTCTGCTTTTCACATAAATGGCTTGCAGAAATCTAAGGCAGATTACTCACTTTTCACCAAGATTTCAGGATCCCACTCTGTTTTTATTCTTGTATATATCGATGATATTATAATCATTGGTAATGATGTTGATTCCATTGAGACTATTAAGTGGTATTTACATAGTAAGTTTCATATCAAAGAACTGGGTCCCCTAAAATATTTTTTGGGGATTGAAGTGGCTTGTTCATCTAAGTGTATTTATCTCACACAGAGAAAATACATTTTAGATATACTTGACAACGTGGGACTTCTTGGAGCGTGCCCTAGTAACTTACCAATGGGACAACATTTAAAACTTAACAATTCGGATGGTGAATTGCCTGGCGATACTTCTCCATATCATCGACTTGTGGGCAAGTTCATTTATCTGACGATAACAAGGCCAGATATTGTGTATTCAGTTTACATTCTCAGTCAATTCATGCAACAACCTTGCAAGCCTCCTATGGATGCTACCTTCAAATTACTTAGATATCTCAAAGGCAGTTCTGGCCAAAGTATTTTATTATCTGCTTCCATCTCACTTCATGTCACAACCTATTTGTGATTCTGACTGGGCCAGTTGTCCAATGACTCATAAGTCTACTACGAGATACCGCACTTTCCTCGACGCCTCTCCAATTTCTTGGAAAACCAAGAAACAAATCACAGTTTCACGTTCACCTGCGGAGGCCGAGTATAGGTCTATGGCATCAGTTTCTTGTGAGCTTCAATGGCTCAAATTTTTACTTCAAGACCTCGGTATTTCTCGTAATGAGTCTATGGCTCTTTATTGCGACAACCAAGCGCCCGTTTACATTGCGGCTAATCTAGTCCATCATTAATGCACAAAGCACATAGAACTGGATTGTCATCTTGTACGATAAAAGCTTCAACAAGGCCTTATTCAGATATGTTTTGTTGGTTTTTCACACCAGGTGACTGATATCATTACCAAGACGTTGGATCCAGAAAATTTCAAATTCCCACTTGCCAAGTTGGGCATCAAGAACCTCCACACTCCAACTTGAGGGGGAGTATTAGACTTATTCAAAAGTCAATTTTATCTCTCCAGATTTACCTCCTAAATTCATGGAGAAAATCGTGTATTTTATCTCTCCAAATTTACCTCCCGAATTCATGGAGAGCATCATGTATTTTATCTCTCCATATTTACCTCCCAAATTCATGGAGAAAAATGTGTAACTTTTTTGTTTATATTTCGATATTTCCATTCTATTGAAACACATAAAAAACATTCGAAATTCACATTTTATCACTACAAGGTCAAAAAAACAAATTGGTGATCTAGATCACTCACCTCAAAAATCATGTCTGATCAATGGATCTGTGTGTCAGATCGGAGAATCAGTCGAATGGACAAGTTTGGTCCCAATTTTTTTCAAAAAATAAATATAACTCTAAAAATAGTGTTCTTTTAGTTTCAAAAAGAAATTAGGAGTATTGCATACGTACTTTCTTTACTTTGTAAAAATAGGTGAATACTGAGATATTTTCATGTCTAGATGTCTGCATAATTATTAATTGTATTATAATATGATAATTTGGGAAAAGTTTATATAGAGTCGAGGCTCTAAACAATCAAATTAAAGCCTACATCAAAAGTTTCATTAAAAGAGGTTGTTTTGATGCTCAAATATCCTCAAATTGATCAGCTCGACATCAAGATGCTTGGACATGAGAGAAAAATTGATTTCAAGATTTAGAAATAGGGTATTTTGTAACGCATTTTTGGATTGGCAATTTTCAAGATTTTCATAGATCTGTCGATCTACACTATTTTTGAAGCTTTAAACTTTACAAATAAAAATGAAAATATATTTTAAGGCTATCACAAAGGTTTTCAGTATTGAAACCACATTTCTCGACTCTATTTGAAGGTAGGCTCTAATTTGATTGTTTAGAGTCTACGCTCT